TCCCCCAGCGACTCAACACTGCTTTTGTGCTGCAGAGTCACATGTATGCATAATAAATATATACAATACACACACATATTATGTAAACGCTAACCTTTATTTTGGATGCAAGTAATCGATTTGACAGCACTAGTAAATATATAATGAATATGTAATATATTGCAAATATTTATGTCTTCGTTTTTTCAAGCTCACTAATGATTTCATGAACATTGAATGTCTTTCCTGAGGTAAATGTGACGTTACATGACATCATTGTTTACAAGCTGTTTTACTGATGTCTCTATGATTGATCGATTACACGAGACGTGATTCATTTCAATAAATTGTTCTGTTTCTTTCCACACCTTTGATGTTCATTCATGTGTTTTTCATGCTATAACTAGTAGTAAAGAGGAAGAGGTGATCGGTGCAGCTACAGCCATTTGTCACAACATTAAAGAGTGTCAAAACAACATATATTGATTGTATTTCATGATACAATTGACAGAATATGAAAGATCAGACTTTGTTTCATATCAAAAATAACAAAGCTTATTGTGATTATTGGATGGCACGCACTAAAAATAAAGTTTCGTGAATTTTTGCTCACAGATCAACGGAAAAGATCTCCGTTCATCCAAATGAAGATTGATTAAAAAAGTTTATCCACGTTGTGTGCATGAATTAGTCTCTGACACAGTCAAAATGTGGCATCAGAGAAATGCTAATTAAACATCATTGCTCTGGTCAATGATTTTGGCCCTCCGGAACTATTTTGGCTAAAACCGAAAATTAATTTTCAGACGAAGATGTTTTTTTTTGTTGAAATTTGGTGCATCACAGATATAATGAAATATTTGTATGTTACTTGGAAAAAACATATATAAACATGGAAAATAAAGCTGTTTATTCATAGCGGTTTAGTTACGCATCTAACACTTAACTAACCACCTTTGCTCTTTTGTAGCTGGAGATTCGCCTTTTATCTTCTCGCCTTCATCGGTGGTCTTGCTGCACTAATAGATGTAAGTCATTTGCCGTTTCAGCCTGTTTTAACTCTCTGGTTTTATTTCCTGTGCTGATTTAATGCTTAACACAATCCGCCATGTCCGTCTCTTTCTCTAGAAGCCCTGGTTGTATGATCTCGAGGAGATGTGGAAAGGCTTCCCCACTCTGGTGAGTTAAACACATGGCCTCATGCCGAGCTGCTCTTTTGTCATTTCCAGCAAATGCGGTATACTTTAGTAACTGTACAACAATTTTGAAGCATGCTGCACGTACTACAAATTTAGTGCATACGAATTAAGCATTTCCATAACCAACTAACATTAAATAGAGCTGATGTTGCGCTGATTTCAGGTGTGTCGTTCATTTGTTATGAATAATGTGGTATTTTTGTTTGTGCCCATATAAAGTTCAACATGAGAATCCCTTGTGAAAATTAAGTACACTTTAGCATACTTTAAATAAAGAGTAATTATTTAGGAAACAATGTACTTTAAAAGAACATACTTAAGTGTGAACTGAATGTGATGTTTTCAGACACTTAATTGCATGTTATTTGCAATTTGATGCATTATAGTTTATTAAATGCAATTAGTCAAACTAAGGAGTGGTTTTTTACCCACTTAAGTAGGACTTCAGTACATCTTTATATGTAATTTCATAATTCTATTGTCTTTTAAATATGGTTAAAGTGTTCCTGCTGAATGTACTGACAAGCATTTATGATCAACTAAAATATACTTTAATGGCATTAAAATACAAGTATTTAAATACATTTGTAATTACACATTTATAATGATGAAGTTGCAGTTTAAAATATATTTACTTAAAACGTAATATTGAATAACACTAAAAGTATAAATATAATCAAGCACTGTACTTTACATGTGCTTTAGTATGTTAGTGAACACATCAAAATAAGTGTACTTCTTTAAAACATGACAAAAGATTAATAAAACAATGATTTAAAAATATACTTTAAATGAAACTGGCATTATTACAAAGTGCACTTTTTAAAAGTGTGTTAAGAGATAGTCATGAAAGTGTCTCTCTTTAAGTGCACTTAAGTGGCCTTTTATTTTATTAATACTATATCATCTGCGAGTATTTTTTTATTTTTTTACAAAATATGCTTTTCAGATTTGAAGTACAGTACAAATGCACATTCAGTGCTGTTGAGCACACTTATACACTTTGTCATTCTAAAAAAAAACTGATTTCTGATGTTTAATGTTTAAAAGGCATGCATATGAAGAAATATACTTTTAAGAAAACATACTTTTTAAAAGTGCACGTTCAAAGCAGACTTTCTCACAAGGCAAATAATAACATCAGATGGTACCTTTCTTTTGTAGAATTTAAACCCATATGTAAGCATTTAGTTGATGTGATAATTACAAAAATCCTTATCACATGGTTACGTAATATATAGAATATTTATGAGGTGAATTTCCAGCAAAATAACATAATAAATGATACCGTAAACATGATATAAATGACTCATTCTTTGATAAAGATTTTGGTCATATTGCTCACTTCTACTCAAGAAATGTGATCTGCATAACGATCAAGTAATAACAATAAAGTCTGTTCGTACGTAATCAGATGTGGCTAGTTTATACTGTACATCATTCGAGTGAACGTTCTCTCTGTCTCTCAGACTCTCCTGTCGTCTCAGTACTGGTACTACATGCTGGAGCTGGGTTTCTACACCTCTCTTCTCTTCAGCCTGGCGTCGGATGTCAAGCGTAAAGTAAGTCGTGATTAATCATCATCACACTGCAAACCTCACCTTCGCATCTCAATGAATCAGACTTTCTTTTATGAGCAGCGCAGTATTCAACGCAGCAGCTAATGCTGGGAATCACTGCAGGCTGTTTTGTTTTTGCGGTGGTCTTGAAGACAGATGTTTAGATTATGTAAGAAGTAAACTAAAGTAACTGAAACTGTTGTTTCCTTCTGCAAGTCTCTGGTGTCAGACTGAGGAATAGATTTAAACGCATGAATCTGAGCCACTGACTTTGTGGACGCAACGGTATAAAGTGAAATCATATACAAATACACTTTGAAAGGTGAATATTGGTTGTTGAATTTGTAACAATGAAAAAGTGCGTGTAATTTTTCCAGCTGAAATATCCACAGTTTGTATGTTTTGAAGCTATATTTAGTTAGTTATAGTAATAGTAATAATTATAGGATTATTATAGTAACTACAAAAAAAACATTTTATTTCAGTTCATTTTTAATTCATTATACGTTGATGTACTAAATAACTAAAGGTAAAACAGAAAAGTTAAGTAGAACTATATCTGTCTATCTATATATGTCTATCTGTCTGTCTGTCTGTCTATCTGTCTATCTAT